AGGTAACAATCCTCACTGCAAAGCATGCGAAACGCCTGCATTAGTTCACCGCGTAGCAGTCTGTAATCCAGAGAATACAAGTCAATGTTTTTGTAAATTGCAAGAACAGCAGGGTTAATTGGATATATAAATTTCAGGAGCGCTCATCAGCTGCTACCTCTCACTACATAACATGAATGACGTAAGAGAAATACCAAATTGAATTCATACAGAAAAATTGATACAAAACTGCAAGGTCATAAGACGTGGCCAAGAGATAAATCAATAACGTAGGAAAGTTAAAACACAGTGGGCAGCAAAAACGGGGAAAAAATTTGCAATGCAGAAAAATTGGGAAGGGGACTGTGTAAATCTGGGAGCTGGATTTTACCAGGGCAAAGCAAGGTTAACCACATGCTCCAACTGTTTACATAGGTCTGCTTTAAAAGTCAAGATTTACCAAGCGGGTCTCATAAGGGAGGTTCCGTCGACCTCGTACTAATTTTTATGCGTGTCTTTGTACCCTTTCAAGGGTTTTTCGGTCTTTGGCTGTCCAACGTCTCCATGTCTGGATGGCAAATTCCAGGTAGGGGCGCAAGAACGTGCCGAAGACCTTGCCAAAGACAACTTCATCGAACATAGCAAGGGCGCGCTTGATTAGATACAAACTGGACATTTTGGATTTGGCCACCTTCAAACGGTGGAGTGATGGCTTAAGTGAAGGCGTGATCCACACCCCCAGATCCTTCTGAGCCTCTACCTCTGGCAACGGCGTCTGTGATTTAGGTAATACACCCTCCGGATCGCTGGATAGGCACTCTAGTGAATTCCTGTTACCCGAGCCCGTAACTTATTATTTGTAGGCTGACCAGCCACTCCCCACCAAGCAATGATGAATCGGCCCTAAAATAAACAAAGCTAACATTTTTGAAAGAATTCGGACTCGCTTCCGGGGTAGGTTTAGGAAAAGACCCAACTTTTCGATCATTTGTGTCCGGTCACAATATTATGCGTATTAAAACTGAACCTAATAATTGTCACGATACATTGCTGATTGACGATTGTCCGGTGTTACGGGGCGCGATCGGCTACGCAATCAAAGCCTACGGCCAGAAGCACACACCAGACGAGCCATACCCACAGACCGGCCGCGCACGCCATCGCTTCGAGCACACGTGAAGATCGCGCACAAACGCGCAGTGCAAATATTCTAGAAGAGTCTCCCAGGGCTGCAGCGTGGGAAGGTACGAATCAGCGTGCAGGACAGAAGCCCCGTCGCACGCTGTAGGCAAGGATTATTCCAGAAGAGCAGAGCCTTATAAACATGCTATTGTGGACAAGCTTAAGGACCCGTTGTCGCTGAGATGTCCTTAACAAAACCCTTGCTACCAGAACCGGCTCTTTGTCTTCTTTCTGCCTATTCTTCGGGTCATCCGGCGCCCCAGATAACAGTGATGCAACATTTTTCGATGAAACTTATTCCTGGACACGAAAACCCAATCAGGTCTGCGATAATAGCG